TTGTGAAATATATTTTTGTTGTTGATAATCCATGTATAGACATATAATAAGCTGCCATGTCTTTTCCAGGCAAGGAGTACACTCAGTACAACCTGCACAACATCCACATGGAGCATGAGTGGGTGATGAATTTGGCTTCCCATCCCAACCTGCTGCAAGCGATCACTGCTGTCCTGGGTCCTAATGTCATTCTGCTGGACTCCAGGTTTATCTGTAAATATCCTTCCTCTGACGTTCCCCATAAAGAAAACATAGCGCCCTACGTGGCCTGGCACCAGGACATCAAGTAAGTAAAAGACAGATAGTATTCATATGAATTTACTAAAATTAGGGAGCCATTTATAGCATGGTTTATAGCATGGCACACCTTGATTTGTGATCTGTCTACAGATACTGGGGGTTTGAAGGAGGTCCAGTGGCTTCAGTGTGGCTGGCATTTGATGACGTGGATGCAGAAAATGGAGTCCTTCAAATTATCCCAGGTACAGTGTTTACTTATTCTATCAAACGTGATACATGTATTATTCTGTCTTTCTACATTTCTGTATTCTGTCTGTCTATATATCCATCTATTTAATAGTTGTATTAGACAATACAGTAAAAAACAAAACAAAAAAACAGCAGATTTTGAAAGTCATGGTATTAAATAAAATTAGAATACACAATAAAATGCCTTAACAGAGTTATGAATAAGGAATAAAATATTTGAATAGTATGCAAGCATTTAAAGAAAAGAACTCCAAATTGCTATTATTTTGTATTTGATGATAAATTGTATCTTTCCATAGGGAGCCATAAACAAGGTGTTCTAGAGCACAGAATTGCAGAGTCTCCAGGGAACATGCTGACAGCCAATCAAGAAATCCCGAAACACCTGGTGAATGCGGAAGACGCGGTGGAATGTCCTCTTAAAGCTGGACAAATGTCGGTAAGTAAATCCACAATAAGAACCTGAACAAATAATGTACATGATCTGTTTGTCGAATACAAACTACATAAAATGTACACAAAAGTAATGCAAGGTTAATGTTTAGATAAACAAAGCATTGCCTGGATATCATATAGAATGTTACATAGAATACTTATATAATAGAACTTACAAGCCAGGAAGTAAATTAGCATAACGGGCTTTGGAATCTGAGTTTTTTCTAACACAATCAATATGATTTCATATTTCCAGGTGCATGATGGGTTAACAGTTCATGCCAGTGAACCCAATTTGTCAAACCGAAGAAGGTGTGGATTTGTGATTCGCTATGTTCCCACCGCTGCTTATCCTGTTGAGGTGAGAATTAAAATAGTAGTCTTCACAGAAATGGACTAATACACAGTGTAATGAAATTTGCATAATCCCACCAACAACCCTTTACTAAATGCATTATATGTGAATAAGTATTCCGTTATTACCATTACCCTACTATATATATTTCCATCATTTATTCATGTAATGTGATACAAAATGCAATGATTTATGAAAATGAAGCAGTTAATTACATCACATTTTCTTTATAATACAGGACCCTGAACGCCCCAGAACATTCCCAGCAACTGTGCTTGTGGCCGGGACAGATGAGTTTCAGAACTTTCAAAACAACGCTCCCAACTTTTTTACCAAGACTTTTTAAAAAAGATTCAACACTATTTAAATGAATCATCAAGTATTTTAAGCAGTTTGAGTTCTTGTGAAATATACAAATTTTGGCTTCATATATTTTAATTTATTATTTTTGCAGCATTTTCAAAGTAGCATTTTGCTAAATATTAAATTATAGTGACCTGAGAAATACTTTTAATGCATTCATTAAGATAGCAGAGTTGATAAAATTTCTTCAGTTTTGCCTAATTGTATATATTTTGAAATACTGGATTTTAAGTCTAAATCCTGAACATTTCAAATTTTATCAAGTCACTTTAACTAATGTTAAATAATTATAAACCTTTGTATTACTTGTGAATACTAATTTAATATTTTATACAGACACTAGTATTTAAAGTGCCAAATTTTATACATTTCAAGTGGGCTATGTTATATCCCTCGGCTTTTTATAAGTATATTTTTCAATATAAAAATAACAAAAAATAAAATTAACTGGGAAGACTTTCAACTACCAATAGCTAATATGTATGACCCATAGGACATTTCATATGTATATTAATTAATTGTTAACCAGGGTTTGATTGACCCGTTAAGATTAGGGTTGTTTAATAACCAAAAGTTAGTACAATGTTAGCTGCTATACTACGTTTACAAGTTTCTATTTAGAAATATTACAGTAGATGTTAAAACATAGTGAGTGCCATCGATGGGGGAAAAAAAAAAAAGATAAAAAAGTGTTACAAATGTATGCGGAGCCTGTTCATTAAACTGTGGAGCGTCCTTTAATGTAAAAATTAACACATTTATGTATTTAATATTATTTAATAATTATGATTGTCATCTTATATTATATTCCACCTGTTTTTATTTTTGAATTAAAAGATGATGTAAAGTATGAAATCATTATTATAAATTAGAACTAAATTTTCAAATAAAAAACTATGAAAACTTTAAAGCGGAACTCTTTTTTTTTTTTTGGTTTTCCTTTACTTATGCCCCCTTGTATTTTCCACTCAATTGTTTTTATTTAGTTTCAAAATATAAAAGCATTGGTAAAGACATGTTTATAATGAGTCGATACATAAACACAAATAGGCATTGAATAGCATCATCAAGATACAGATACATATCGTTGGAAGTATACATTGTCACTAGTAGTAGCAGATCCTGCTTATAGTGATAACGGTGTTCAGTGCGTCTGTTAACACCCTCTGCTACCCAGGTTGATTGTACTATCTGCAACATGAGAAGTCTAGTCCTCAACGTTAACAAATATGGAGGAGGATAAAGGGTACATAAAGGAAAAAAAGGAGGGAACATGGAGTGGGAGGGGAGTCAGGGGGGGGGGGGTTTATGGAGTTAGCACTCACTAGTCTAATACCAAATTGGCTGATTGGGTCTGTGTTCATGCTTTCCTGTGAGCAGGCAGGATGAGCAATGAGGTCAAATATGTGGTTTACCTAATTCTTAACCTCTGAGGTAGGTGTCGTTTTCGCAGGTCTATTTTCAGTAATATGTGATGGTCCCATGTCTGATGAAAGTCCCAAATGTGGACTGAAACGTCGGTCCTTTTTTAATATGAAATGACATTAAAATTTACAACTTTTAACTTTTGGAAAAACCGTGAGTGCTGGTCATCCCTCTACTTCATCTATATACAGGGCTGGTGCAAGGATTTTTGGGTAGATAGGCGAAGATGCATTCGCCCCCCTAAAATTAACATCTTCACCTATGTGCCCCTTAACCAGCCCCTCTCTCCACCCTGTCCCTTAGTGTTCCTCTCCCCTCCCCCCCTTCTTTTCCCTGTCCCTTGGCGTTTCTCTCCCCTCCCCTCTCTGTTCCTTGGTGCACCCCCCACCCTCTTAGTGGTCACACTCCCCTTCCTGGTGTGCCTCCTAACTCTCTTATAGGGTTGTGGAGCAGATCCTCTACAGGAGCTTCAGTTTTCTGTACCCGGCTGGACTGACAGGAAGTGCTCTCTCAGTGAGCACCTCCTGTCAGTCTGGCCGGGTAAAGGAAACAGAAGCTCCTGTACCGCGCTCTGCTACACTCAGTGGTGTATACACACTAACAGCCACACACACTGAATGACAAACACACAGACATCACTGACAGACACAGACTCACTGATCTGACACACACTCACAGACACAAATTATTAATAATGCCCACCTAGCCTCCCTACCTGGAGAGCTGGCGTGGATCTGTCCCTGGGGTCCAGTGGGGCTTCAGTGCGGTGGGCAGCAGAGTTCCTGTCAGATGCGGCGAGGGAGCTCTAAGCTCTCTGCTCCTTCGCGGGCTGTCTACTGATGCCGGGAGCCGGAATATGATGTCATCTTCTGGCTCCCGCGGCATCAACTAACATCGCGCAAGGGAGCAGAGTAGAGAGGTTAGAGCTCCCTCGCTGCCTCTGATTAGAACACTGCTGCGACGGGGGTCCAGAAGGTGGCCTGGCAGGAGGGAGCGCTTCTCTCCTGCCGGTCACTGAAATCTTGCGCCCCCAGTGCCGCCTTATGGACGCGCCGGCCCTGTCTATGTATCTCTAATACACAAGATCCAGCACACTCACTCATCCACTAAACAGCAACTTCAAAGCATACATATTTTATTAGTTTTTTCCTTTTTTTTTTTTAAAAAACAACACCTAATTGAGGCAAAAATAATAGGGGTTTGCTTACAGTATATAATCAAACATTGCATAAGCCTGCCACAATGTCAATGTACCCCATCTTTGGCAGGTACTCTAGCAGCCTAATGCCTGCTCTTATGAGATAAACCCACTTACTTGGGGAAAACAATTCCATCTGGGGCTCTGTGCAGTACAAGGTTAAATAGGGCCCTGAAATGAGGCACCTGTGACAGGGAGGGGTGCAAAACCAGGGAGTTGGCCTAGAGATATCTCTCTCTCTCTCAAGCCGACCCGAATATAAGCCGAGGCACCTCGTTTTACCACAAAAAACTGGGAGAACTTATTGACTCGAGTATAAGCCTAGGGTGGGAAATGCAGCAGATACTGGTAAATTTCAAAAAGAAAAATAGATACCAATAAAATTACATTAATTGAGGCATCGGTAGGTTAAATGTTTTTGAATATTTCGTTCAAAGAAAACCAGCAAACTAGCTCTGTCAGTGGAAAAGAGGGTCAACAAAAACAATATGGTATCAACAATAACTTTAAAAGTACAAAAACCTTAGCTCCAGCAAGCTAAAACAAAAAAGGGTTAAAAATCCTTCAAAACTGGATTAATCTGTATGTCCAAACAGAGCTTCAGCTGTAGCTGGTGTGAGGTTATCAGTAGACATTGTCATCATCATTGAGTTCACAGTCATCACCATCACGGCTGTCATTCTCATACAAAGCGCTGTCTTTACTGCCATCCACAGCATTGTTAATGCCACATTTCTTGAAGGTGCGTTGCACCATGTCCTCTGGAATCTCTTCCAATGCATCGCAAACCCACTCTGCTATCAATTCTATGTCAGGCTTCATCAGATTTCCAACTTTTGTCAGTCAGGCTTGACCAGATGACATCCATTCATGCCACATCTTTCGCACACAGTCTTTGAAAGGTTTATTTAAACACACATCTAGGGGCTGCAATACAGATGTAAACCCACCTGGAATAACAGCCAAAGTAACTTGAGAAGAGTTTGCCAATGTTTTTATGTCATAAGATGTGTGATCCCAAACTAGCAATGATGTTTTTCTTTAAGACTGCTCCTGGTCGTCTGTTCCAAATTTCTTCCAGCCATTTTTTTGTTCCGTCTTCATCCATCCAGCCTTTAACATGTGCACGCACATTAATTCGTGGTGGGAGTTTTACCCTTTTAGGCAAGGTCTTTCTTTTAAAAATAATGACAGGCCGTAGCTTAGTTCTATTAGACAAACATGACAGAATGACTGAAATGTTTTTTCACATTTCCTGTGGTTCTGAGTAAAATAGTTTTGTCTCCCAAACTTGCCACAGTTCTGTTGCTTGGAAGATCAAAGGTAATAGGTGTTTCATCCATATTCCCAATATCTCCCTGGTCATAGTTATGGATCCTTCTTTGTTTTATGATGAATGAATGGAATGACATCACTTTTTCATCAAGGTCTTTTGGCAACTTCTGGGAAATCTTTGTTCTTTGCCGCAAACATAGGGCAAACCTATTAATGAAGCGGGTACACCATCCTGCTGACGCAACAAAATTTTCAATGCCTGGTGCTTTTAATTTGACATCTTTAGCCATTTGAAGGGCACATAAGCGAATTCCCATGCGTGTTACGCAGTAACCATTTTGGCAATACTCCATAACCCATTTATGCAACTCAGTCTCAAGAGCCCCATATGAAGTCGTTAAACCACGTCGAGTTTTTTTGCCTTTGGAATCTTTTCCAAGTCAGCTTTCATTTTCCGCCACTCCCTCACTTGTTTTTCGTCAACACAAAATTCCCTACTTGCAATACTGTTATTGCTTTCTTCTGCTCTTGACACAACCTTAAGTTTGAAACCAGCTTTGTATGACCAGCGCTGTTGTTTTGGTCCGGGATTAGATTAGAAGTATTGGGATCCAAAAAGACTTAGTAAAAGAATGTCGACTATGTTTGCATAGATCAGTCTGTGTTGGGGCTCATACTATACATGTTGTGTTACTGCACGCACACACACACACAAAAACAAACAGACAGGCACACATACATACAGATAGACACACACAGACACACACACACACACACCATAAATACAAAGACACATACAAAAGAAACAGGCACACATACATATTACAGACAGATAGACACATACATACAAACACACAATATTTAATATTAAATATATATAATATTTAAGTCACCCTCCTGTTGCCTACCTTTTAGGTGCAGGAGGGTGACTCAGGTTGATGGGAGTCTGACCCCCTTGTGGGCTAAGTGATAGCTGGGAAGCGTGACGTGCAGTCACTTCCTCCCAGCAGTTATGATCTCATCACAGGTGGCCCGGTCGTGCTGTTAAAGCGCCCAGCGCTGACCGGGCCCCCAGAAATCCGTATCCATCGGGTGGCCCTCACAGTAGGGACCCCTTGGACGGCGGCCGGAGCCGCAAATGATGATGGTGGTGGGTACCCGCGGTACGTAGTAATGATGGCGGCGGGTACCCGCGGTATGGACCCTCACTTGAGTATAAGCCGAGGTGGACTTTTTCAGCACAAGAAATGTGCTGAAAAAGTCGACTTATACTCAAGTATATACGGTATATCAAACCAGGAGGCTGCACTCACCTGAACATGCATAAATGGGGTGCTGCTGGGGCCACTTCATACAATACACAAGATCCAGTGCACTCACTCATCCACTAAACAGCAACTTCAAAGCTTACAGATTTTATTCTTATTTTAAGGTTTTTAAGGTCTGCCCAAAGAATTGGAAGGTCAATCTGGGGTGAATGCATACCAGGCGGCATGCCAATCACACAGGCCCGCCAACTAAGGGCTGACTTTCCATACAGCACTGTTTCAGCACCCTGATCTTGCCCCAAATGGTTTTTATGATGCGTGTGACAGACTGCCTGGTACCCACAATTTATACACACTGTCAACTCCTCCCCAGTGCCTGAGAGATAATTGAGTCAGGAACTGTACAAACTCAATTATCTCCAGGTACAGAAAAATACAACAATTTTACAACACTCCAAAAGTAACCCAAAATACATGGAACCCCCTCAAAAGTCACATCCCTAAATAGCCCTGATTTGAGTGCCTATTATATCCAAAAAGCACTCAGATCATTTTAGTCTTTTGGATTTCCAAGGTAATCGAGGTAGACCAAGGTAAACCAAATGAAATAGAGAACTCATCCTCTTGCTCCTAGGTAGCGATTGTTTGCCTAGTTCATGTGAACAATCCTACCAAACGGCTCTCTCCTGACATGAGTAGAAACGAAGCAGGCGTTTGTCAAAGTTCAGCAGTGTTCGTGAGTCACAGTGTCTGATTTCAGTTCCATGCACTCGACGACCGCTGCCTGCGTTCTTGTGACAAGATGGTCGCCAACTCAGTTTCCACGTGTTCGTGCAATCTGAACGGCGGTCACCCAGTCAACATTTAGAATACATAGTGTGAAAGTGATGGATGTATCATGAGAGGTTAATAGGAGTTAACAAGCCCAGAGGTTGTCCGCAATTCGTGAATTTGTTCGTTTCCCAAACTAAAAAGGGAAACCACACAAACCAAGTCTTTTAAAGGTCGGTTACATTGCCTATAGTCCTTGGGCAGGAGGCTAGCCAGCAGGCTCCTCCATGAGCTTGTGGCAGAGGCATGTCAAACTCAAAGCCTAACAGGGGCCAAATAAACAAGGTTTACGTTTACATGGGCCGCAAAAAAACTAAAACTTCAGTTTTCATAGAAGCATAGGTTTATTTATAAAAGGTACAGTACATAAAAGTACAGTATAAAAATGTTGCCTGACGTCCTCCCTCTCGTAGGGCTTCAAAGTAAACAAAAGAGCAAATTTATTTTAAGACGTGCATTTGCATATAACCAATGTTTCAGTCCAACTACCTTGACATATTAAGAAACGTTTGGTAAAGGGACTGAAAAGGTGTATGTATACTGTTCATTTTCTATAGGAAAGCATTGGGAGGCTATTGTGCATGTGTGGCAAAAAGCTGCGCGGTCAACCAGCATCTCCATGGGAAGAGTTCAGCACCTCCATGCATTCCCAATCTAATACATTGTCTCCTCCCCCCATTCTAATACATTGCCCACAAATCCAATACACTGCCCCCCTACCTCCACTCTAATACACTGCGCCCTACACACTGTCCTTTAATCTAATACACTGCCCCTCCTCCCTTGACTTTAACTGAATACCCTGAACCTCCTCCCAGCACTCTAAATTAATACACTGCCCTGCCTGCCTCAATTTAAAATACTGTCCTCCCCCCAGTTTAACACACTGCCTCCCCCTCCTACCACTCTAATACACTGCCCCACTTCCTCTCTCAATTTAATACACTGCATCCCTCACTCCCCCAAATGAATACACTGCCCCCTCCATCTCTCAAATTAATACACTGCCCCCCCTTCCCAATTGAGCATGCTAAACAGTAAGGTACCCCAAGCCCCTCTTCCCCTACCTTAAGATGAGCCTGCCGTCCTCCAATTTAATAATTTGTGACAGTGCCACATTAATGCACCATATTTAGAGTAAACTATACAATGCAGAGTGGGGGTATTGCTTTGGGTGAATGATTTTAATGCAGTAATGTAAAGTGTTAATACAGCATGGCTTTGGATTAATACATAAAATGTGGAGTTTATATATAAATTCATGTAATACTCTGAATTCTGTGTCATAATGGGATTCATAGAATGCCTTTTTAATTTTATTCTTTCAGGAATTTAGCAGATAATTGGTACCCTTATTTGGGATTGCCATATTTAAAGGAAAACTTTAGTGTCAGGAATACAAACATGTATTCTTGACACAATAGTGCCTGTGTTGCTGTCCCCTTCCCTCCTTAGATCATTCTAAAAAGGTAATTTTACTCACCTTTTTCCCCAAGCCGTGCTGTCTCGCTGCAGCTGGTCCCACCTGGCTCCGCCACCGTGTCTGAGATCATCAATTTTGACGATCTCAGCCAATTCAGTTGGAGCATTGGGAGGCTACTGTGTATGTGTGGCAAAGCGCTGCGCCAATCAGCAGCTTCTCATAGAGCTGCACTTAATCAATGCATCTTTTGGGTTTTCAGTGCTTCCACCAAGAACACAGGAAATAACTCAATTGACCATCTGAGTGATGGCCACCAGAGGTGCTACTAGGCACCAATATAAACACTACTTTTTCCTCTGAAGAGACATTGTTTACTTTGAAAATCCTGCAGGGACAGGCTATAGACACCAGAACCACTACATTAAGCTCTAGTTATTCTGGCGACTATAGTTTCCATTAAGGATACCAACTGAGGGTGCTGTTTAGCAGATAACTCACTTATTTGGTATCCTAATGACAATCCCACATAAGTATAGAATATTGAAGGGGGTATCTACTAACCTGTAAGATTAAAATTAAGAAAATTACTTTTCTTAATCATGATCGTTTAGCAGATAGCTCACTTAACTGGTACCTGTAACTATGTGACTGACGGATAGCAGAGCCGGCATAACCTTTCAAGCACCAGCTCTACTGAGCTGCCCCCAGCCCCACCGTGTAGCACAGCCAGTAGGGAGATCTACAGGTCTTACTGCAAGGCCCTGCACTGCTCACTCTGCAGACTTTCCTCTGGATGAGAGCATCTCTAAGCAAATGCTTTCTCCCAGCAATCCACCAGAGAAACTTTATCCACCAGACCACCAAGGAATAAAGTTCAGAGCTTCCCCATCCCCACTCAATCACCTTGTCACATAAACCCTCCCCCCACACACAGACACACACACACTCAGTCACCCTGTACACACTCAGTTACCCTGTTACATCACCCCTCCCCCAGACACACTCAGTCACCATGTGTCAGCGGTCTCCCCTCCTCCTACCTGTCGGCGAGCGGCGTCTCCTCTCCGCTGCTTGCCGCTCGTGTCCTCCACGCCTCCCAGCGGCAGCATGTATAATGCTGCACGCTGGGAGATCGCAAATTTATGCAAACGCTGGGGTCACTCACGTGACCTGGCGTTAAAGTAACAGTACCACAATCACAGTGGGAGGCGTAGATATCTCCCACATGTGATTGTTAATTCTGATTGGAAGTTA